CCTGCCCCGCGCGCCCGGTGTTCAGGAAAACTTGGGAACGGGGTTTGGTGATGTCTGGTGGCGGAGGCCCGTATGGGACCGCACGTACGCATTTGAGCCGGCAGAATTACCTCAGCAGCATTCCTGCCGCTGCCGCGGGAAACGCGCTGACTACGCAGGAAAGGTGGAGCGCGGCAGAGACCGACATGTGACAGAACCGGGTGCGAGCCTGGGGAGGTAGAGGAGAAAATCCTCCAAATCTTAGTACTATCGGTTTCTTAAATCTCATCCGCTTTTATAACACCCGTGCCAACATCCGCTGTAGGTGTGTAAAGGTGGCATCTGTGTACACAGAGTTTTGAGAGAATTTCAAAGTCTGTTACGTGCTGATGCTGTAAAGGCTGAGCAACGAACTGATGGTAATTACATACATTTTTATAATTAAAAAACCTAATGGAAATAAAATTGATTACTGTCAGTATCTTGGAATAATTACAGTTTCTGTAACAACTTTATATCTGAGTGTTCAGAAGTGTACACACAAAATAATAAAAGATGTGCTAATAGAAATGAAGTCTAGATTTCTCCATATACGGAGCAGGCACACATTATAACCAGATTAATCAACAACCAAATCTAAACAGCTGCTCTCCCTTTACTCCATGACTAGCCATTTTTTCTGTCTCACAGCAGGGTGAAAAACCAGTATCACTTTTCTTTAATCTGGTCCTGGGGGAAATGTGTCTTCCATTTCTCCTTGATTGGAGAGAAGGAGCCTGTAGAGGCAGATGTTATTATAAAAGTAAGACTATAGGAAATTCCCAGCCAGCCAGTTCTCTCATCAGGGACCAGTGTTGCTTCACACACCTGCACAAGTGATTTGAACCAGCATAAATAACTCAGGTAAGTGCTGTGCTACTCCCACTGCAGATTCCACCAAAATTCCCCAGGCAGTCAAGATTCAAGTTCTGAAGCAGCCAAACTCCTCTGGCCTAGAAGGATGCAAATGAAAGGAACTTATGCGCCTACATGTCTCCATATTTTAATATCTACTCAAAGATTCCCCATTGTTGAGCTGGTGATGAGTCAAAGGACTTCTGAGATTACTGAGTATCTTAATGTAAAACAGCATCAAGCTTTATGATTCAGTTCCTTTGGATTACCAAAGTAGCATCAAGAAAAGTTGGTTTATGGAGTTAGTAGTTCTGCATTTATAGTTAAACTTTGTTGGATTGTATTGGATCAGCAATACAATGGCATGCTGCCTTTCCTGTCTCATCATCCAGGAGCTACTCTGGTAGTCACACTCTCACCACCTAAATTGGGACCAAAACCCCTTCCCAGTGGGCAGCTCCAGTGAGCCTGGCTCCCATACACCCCACATTCACACAGTCAGACAAAGTTTCCTTACCATCTCGATGCCAGGTTTCCCATAGCAGAGTCTCAGTGGTCCCAATCCTTAAAATAATTCGGTCTTGGTGCAATAACCAAATAAGTTTGAGCTGGGACCTTGTACAAAGGAGATCCTGGGTTTTTGTACCCTCACAGTCTAAGCATGGTAACATTTGAGGGTCCTTGGCTCCTGCCATGTCTCTGAGTGTCCAATAACCTACCTGGCTAGGCCACAGGTCACTGAGCTTGTCAAAGGGTTGGCAGTTCATGGTCTCTTGCCTTGGACTCCAGCCATCCAGAGAGCTCAATCTGCAGCTTACATTGCACCTGCAAATCCAGCTACCTGCACTGAATATATTCCTCAAGAGTTCAGTGAGATGTTCTCTTACTGTTACTGTTGCATGGTCATTTAATGAGCTCCAGCTTTTTGGGATTGTGTTTAAAAATTCAGTCTCAGGAGCTATCATTTCAGTTTTGTAGGCTTGAAGGAATGAATCTGTCTAAAGCTTCAGGCCATCACAACTATGGCTGAGTGGTCCAACATGACAAATGCCAGACTTTCTAGATTCTCTGATACAATCCATCTGCAGGATGAGTATAGCAGCCCAGTCTCTGAAGCTGTTGATTCTGGGTGTTGAATCAGTTTTCCCTGCCTTGTACAACAGAAATGTGCTTCGGCTTGACTGAAAATTGATTTCACAGTGCAGGCTTTTGTTGGTATTAAAGCAATGCCTGCAAGCTGATGGGATAATTACCTCAGAAAAAGACTTGCATCTAACTTGCTTGCAGTCTTTATGGAGTTACCAGGTGGCTCCAGCAGGTAGCTGGTCAATAGACTTTTTGCTGAAGCACTAAGTTGTCAGTATGACTCCAATGCATTGTCCTCCATGAAGCCACTCTTTGAACATTTAAAGCTGAGGGAGATAACTGTGAATCTTTATGCTACAAATCAAATTTTTCAAATGTTTCTGAAAGGCAGTGTAGCCATATTGGACATCTTGGAAGGATTGGATAAAATAAACCATTCCAAAGTAGCTCAAGGCGGGAGATGACAGGAAGCGACCACAGGTTTTTTCACAGTCCACCGTGTATCTGAAGAGGCTGTGCTCCGAAGAAGCCTCAGGAAACCTGATTTTGCCAGCCTTGACAGCTGCTGTTGGGTTACTTCCGTATCACCGGGATTTTCTCTGCTTATCAGCACCAGCACCAGGAATGAACCACGAGCGGCTGTGCTGTCATGGGAGTCAGGAATCACACATAGCCCCAAAGAAACGGGCTAGCCATCACCGAGTTAAAGTTTACAGGACCTGAAGGGCACTGCTAATGTCAAGACCAGAGGCTGCCAGCTTCTTCAGGTGCTCTGTCCTGGTCACCTACAGGTAACGAGCTAAAACCAAGGTGCGAGTTTTTTTAATTACTCAGTCGTTTCGTGTTTTTTTAGGTACATTGCAAAGGCATGTATGTCTCTGGAATTGCTAACTTGGTGTATGTTATTAGTGAGCTACTGTGAACACCTGGAGTTTTCTATCACCAGCTGCAAGAACAGACAGAGCAGCGAGTCAGAGCAAAGCAGAAACAGAAACAAAGTATTAGTAGGAAACCGGTGTTTCCACATGTGCTGTAACAAACTGGGATAATGTGTCTTCCGTGTTGATTTATGTGGAAAAACAGAGAAGCTCAGCGGATTGAAGTCTTCCATAAAGTTCCGGCATAATGTTCGTTTGTACGGTAACAATCCAAATGAAGGTTACTTGAAGAGGAATCAGGCTGCAGCTGAAGACTGCAGGCCTGGCAACGATCCCGACGGAACCGGGGGAGAACCCAAGCACCGAGCTGTTCTCCTCAGTCTCGGGGGCGATGGGAACAGACAGCGGCGGGCGGCAGCGTCGCCCCGCCCCGCGCTCGCCCCGAGCCCTCGCGGCATTTCCGGCCGAGGCCCG